GATCTCTGGCGCTAAAGGAGGTACAAACTCACAAGATACACAAACACTTATTGAACAAAAGAAATAAAAAAAGGTGGTCCTGGAGGACAAGCACTGAGAAATCCAAAACATTTCTCTCTTTTTACTACTAAATAAGTTGATGACCTAAACCCTAAACAATGGATAATTAAATGGTTAAGGTACCTATAACTCTAATGTTACATAAGAACGCCTGAACTGGCACAAATAAAATTACTGTTAGTTATATGTCTAATTTTTGAACGAAGTGGTTGTGTTTTCAATTTGTTCTAGATTAAGGCAGGCACAGCAATGTAAAAAAAAATCATAATTACGAACAATGAGGGTTCACAGAAATGGGAAACTGCTCCTCACAGGCGAGAGTCCTACTTAAATTCGCCTCGGATTATCACTGCAAACGGTTTCCCCTCTATAAAATTCGAAATCGAGTAAATAAACACGTGGCTTGGAGAAAATGGTCACTTACCAGCTCTATGGCTGAGTGTAGTTATGTCTACGGCTAAATCCCCAAGAGGGTGAGGAAAAGGGCTCCGACAACAAACTCACTAATGGAGGCCGATTTCTATTAACCCTCCATTAGGCGCGTGGATTATACTAACGTATTTAGGCGCGTGGATTACAATGGTAATCCATTTTATTTAATTTTTGAAATGTAAAAAAAATAAAGAAAAATTGAAATATGTATTTTATCGTAAACAAGAGACCTTCATTATATATAATACATTTTGTTTCGGCGGGTATGCAAATTTCAGCTTATGGAAATCATAAATTATTGTACACGTGCTTTTTTAAGCCTTTATTTGCAAGTTTTCAATAATTGTTATTAAAATAAACATTAATTTAACTAAAACAGTAACTTAAGTATTTTATCCTGAATAAAAGTGTTTGTCAACTTGAATAAATGAAATAATAACAAATTATAGAATATACAAAACGAAAAATAGCATGACAAATATTTGCTACTTTTTACATGACAAACAAGACGTACACACTTCCACCATATGTTCCTTGCATGCATGTCTGCTACATTTGTGGCAAATTTTTCTTGTTGATTTGTTACGACTTCTCGTGCAAATGTAGCAGCGACGTATGCAACTTCCTGGCATATCAGGTGGTGGTGGAGGAGGTAATACCTCTTCCAGTCCCAGCAGGTGGCGTGCTCGACGGCGGATTTCTCTTGGTATAACAGAAATAGTTGACCTGTGTTCTATTTGAGGTTTTATTAGTTCCCAAGCAAATTTTTCAATAAAGTCAGATCTTAGGACTTTCTCGTTAGGGTGATTTGCTTTATAAACACAGCAAGCGTTTATTCCAGATATATTCAATAAGTCATAAAATACAACCATTGGCCATCGATTCGTTGTTCTAGCTACATTATAATTGTCACTCATCTGATCTACTAAATCTACTCCTACCTTCGTTTGATTGTAGCATGTTATTATTTCCGGCAATCTATTTTCACCACTTTCTGGATCGATAGAACTATCATGGTGCATTGAAGAAATGACTATTACTGCCTTATTTTTCTTTGGGCAATATGAAGCCATTGTGAGGTCTTCCCGAAAACCAAATATCGAGGTTTTTTCTTCCCTGTTCTTTGTTGGCAAGAATTCTGTTGGTATCTCGCGCTTATTCTTTCGCATAGTGCCCACGTACGTTAGTTTTTTCTCCAATAACTTAATTGCCAGTGGTACGCTGGTAAACCAATTATCGCCTGTTATGTTACGGTTTGTTCCTTCTACGGGTTGCACTAATCGCAGAACAAGATCATTTGGAGAGTTACTCAACTTATATGGTCCTTCAGGCTGAGCTCCCAGATATGGCTCAAGATTAAATGTATATGAAGTTTTAGCATCCACTAATGCGAACATCTTTACTCCATACCTAGCTGGTTTTCTAGGCATATACTGTCTAAACGGACATCGGCCCCTAAAAGCCAGTAACTGTTCATCTATTGTCAAGAATTCACTTGAAATAAAGTTTTTCTGGAATGTAGCTAAGAATGTTTCAAAAACTTCTCTTATAGGTGCAAACTTATCAATTTCTCGTCTTTCATTTCTCGTTGTGATATCATCAAACCTCAAACATCTTAAAATAAATCTAAACCGCTTTTCGCTCATTGCCAAATAGCATGCTTCTATCCCACTGCCTTTTGAGTTATTCCATATCTTGTGAGCATTTTTTCTGGAACTTCTTAACGTCCCAATAAGAAACAAAATGCCAATAAATGCACTAATTTCTCTTTCGTCTGTTAATCTGACATCTCGATCCCTTTGAAATTTGTTTTGATTTTTTCAATATACCTATTTGTCGAGCTGGTTATCATTCGAATAACACTATCAGTTATAAAAAGTTTTATACAGTCAATTTCTGATACTGCATCACGAGCACTGCCTTTTGGCCCAGGAAGTAACTTTATAATGTTATGAGATCGAACACGTACTTGTAAATTTGACCTACTTTTTTTCCACTTGGTTGTTTTATCTTTGCCAAGATAATAACCTCCACACTTATTTTCTTCCACAGCTGCTGTGTCTTGGTCTGGTATGCCCTGATCTTCATCTGAAGAAATGTCTTGCTCGGATTCTGATTGATGATCGCTGTTCTCTACAAAATCTTCTTCTATCTCGTCTTCATCTTCTTCATCTAAATCACATTCCTCTTCACTTGAAAGCTCCTCGTACCATTTCATCCACATCTTTGGATCTGTACTACTTTCCAATCGAGGTTTTTTGGATTCGGACATTTTTTGTGTCTGAAATGATATATTATATAGTTTTTAGAATTCCGGTTGAACAAAGAATATTGGTTTTGTTAAAAATCAAGTAAAATAGGATACCCAAAAAAGACAGTCTGAAGTTTACCAATTCATACAATACTTTACAGTGAAAAAACTTACCGAAAGTACCAAACGGCAAAAACTCGAAACTATGCGATCTACAAAAACCGCAACGTAAATAGGCGCGTGGAGTACACTCGTAATCCAGCCGCGGTTTGCCCTTGTTAATCCGCTCAAACGCACTTCTCACTTGACTATTCGATACTAAGGAGCCTACATAGGATACCTACATCTGCTACCGACAGCTACTCAAGCGGGCGATTCTAACTGCGCGCTGATTTCTCGTTGGTCACTTCCCAAAGCGGTGTGGATTACAGTTGTAATCCACGCGCCTATTGGAGGGTTAAAATCTCCACCACCCGATAAAGCTGCAGCATTGCGCGTGAAACTATTTCACAAAATCGGGTAATGGGCCACTGAATTCCTACACGAGAGCACCGGAAATAGCACCAAGTCACCTTCAGCTCTCGTATTTACGGTAGACAGAAATTATAAAAAATTACTTTTAACCATATGGAGAGTAGAGTATGATTTTCTACCATAAAATTAACAGACCAAGAGAAGTGTTTTGTTAGAAAAATAAAATTCGATATTTTTAAGAACTGCTATAAAATTATTCTAAATCAGAAAAACGTTGTAATAATTTATATATCAAGATATAGTTAATTTTTAGTCGACCGTAAAAAAACTGTAACAAAGTTTGAAATTGAAAACTGTTCCTACTATATTAGGAGAGTATTCCTATTTCACAACACCATGTATCTTGGTAACTCGACATTTTAAGACCTACCCTCATTGGAATTGTTTTTATTATTTTACTGCTTATCTTCGACTCACAGTCTCATCTAAATCACTCAAGTAGCGTATAAGAAATGCACTTGAACACACTTAAGCTCAGTAACGAAGCCGTAGAATACAAAAAACTCACATGAACTTTTTTATTCAGTTTGATGAGGTCTATTAGATGTTAAAGGTGGCCTAAATTAATATGTAAACTTTTTAATACACAGTATTTTGAACGCAAACCGCAAAAAATCGCAAAATGTAAACAAAGCAGATGCCTTCGCTGCTTACACATTATTTTTTCGGATACTCATTTTGACTAACATTTTTCTGCTCCTGTTTCTCGTTATTTTTGGGATTTTTCAAAATAGAGTGAGCCCCTCTCCTAGACTCTCCGGTTCATAAATGAGTTCCAATAAATCGGTCAATCGATATTTGATGTATTCTTGTAGCTGGAAGTACCCCCTTCCCCCTACGATCCTCAATGTTCAATTGGCAGCAAGATAGCAATAGAGTATTTTTATTCAAATATGACCAAAGGAAAGCTCCCAAACTACTAATTTTTTTCCTTCCAAAATACTCCTTTATCTCGTTTTCATATGCCAAACATGAGGAATACTGATATGGGCATTTTTTATGCTTAGTCATATGCTTATCTCCTAAAGATGCGTATACATGATGCGAGCCGAACCGCTCGTGGGGCGCTCAAAAACTGTTCTTTGAAATTATTTTCACAATGAACATTTAGCGATTCATGGAAAAGCCGAACCAGATTCAAATCACCAGCGGCCACTGGTCTGCGTGTCTTCCAGAAACCTGAAAGCTTCGTATGCAAACCATCTGGTTAGATAATCTTCATCTCTTCCCAGAATACAACATTAAAATTATTACAAGTAAACTTCCATCCGCATAAATGGCTTATCGTATTTCAGTCAATACTTTGTAATTGTACGTAAATTATGTAGTATTTATTTGTGTAATCATATCAGTAATTTATGTAGATCAGTTAGATGTGAGTAAAGTGAGAGTTCACACTCCTGAAGTTATGTAGAAAATGTTTAGTATTTCAAATAAATCCAGCCTAAAAGTAGGAGTATGTATGCAATTGTAGCAATACTCAAAAACAATGTTATATGTTAGTAACAATTTAACGCGTACGAAGTCGCAGGTAACATCTAGTAAGTTATAAATCAGGTGCCCTAGCTGATTAGCTTCTATGATCCTACGCGAGAGATTACATGATTTATTTAGTATCAAAAAAGAATTATCAGTTTGAAATTCAAATTTTGACCAAAGTCAAATATCGTGCGAACCCCGCCTCAATCTGTGTTGTTTATTAATAAAATTTGCTTTGTTTCAGCTGTCAAATTCCAAGAAAACCTTTTGAAGACGATGCTGCAAATCGAAGACACTTTTTTTGAACTGGGTCGAACGTGCAAGAGAGACTGTCTGATAATTTGTGATAGAGGTGCTATGGACGCATCTGCATGTAAGTTTTCACGAATGACTCATTGTTAGATTTTGAAAAAAAAAAACTCGTGAATTTGCTTTCTTCGTTAGGTTAACCAAACTTTTTTATTCTATTTTGTGATTGTGTCTCTAGCTAGACAATATTTAAAACCGTAGTGTCATTGCTTCAATTTTTCAGGACACAATAAAGACTGTCATTAACAAATAAATCAGTTTTAAAGTACTTTTTTTGGGTTTGATAAAGTATTTGAGTTTTTTGAAATTAAAATTTCGAATAAACTTCACAGTTTCTTAACAACTATAATGGAAGAAACCCGAAAAACTGTTTTGAACTTACGTCGGTTTAGCAGGAAATAGGGTTAGTGGTATGAACTTCAGCAAAAGAATCATATTACAGAGAAAACTTAGGCAAAGCCAACGCCATGGGAAAATCAATCGAATTTCCCGTTTGACACACAAACCATGAATCGGCAGTCGGCTATAGAGGAATCCATGTGCCTATTTGACTACCAGACAGTAAAATTTATTTTTTTAACGATAAAATTTATTTTGCAAGATGTGTTGTGCCTGTAATTCCACTTCTATATTATCTATACGGAGAACTAAAACATTTAGCGTATAGTTCTTTCTCAGTCATACATAGGATTGAGTAATTGGTTTTGGTAGGAAACTAGAAAACTTGTGATTTTGGACAAAGCCTATACGGTAAAGTAGATGCTGCGCTTGCTCGTGATCTTATTTTTGTAATGTTTGTAATACCTGAAACTTATCCTATTTTCAGGCTGGTAGGTCTTCATTCTTGTCCGAGATGTGTCTCAATAAAAAATTGATGTTTCTGAATCTATTTGGTATTCTTCCAAAAACTTGTGCGTCTAACCAGGACGCTTTTTTCGTGATTCTTAATCAGAACATGTTCACCTCTGTCAGTATTCTTTTTTTGCTTTTCCTTCATAATCAAGTTTAAAAAATCCATTCTCCAAGATTGTGTGTCAGAGTTGCGTAAACTTTTGCTTCAAGATATTCTTTAAGATCTGCTGTATTCTTTCGAACTGGTTGATACAGGAATGAATCTTTCGAAACAGCATTTCTGTCACTTTTTAAACTAGGTAGGGAAACCGATTCACATACTATCCCTTTGATCACTGCAATTAGAACGAAAGAATAAGGCAATTATTGATAGGTAAACTGCTAATCTTTTTGAACAATATCCAGGAAAGAGGAAATATTATGAAGTGCGTATTTTAAATTATCAAGTCACGTTTTTGTTACATGCTATATCGTGTCTTAATGCTGAACTTGTTTTAGTTGTCACCAAAGAAAGATGGGATGAAATCATGAAAGAAAATTGCTGGAACAGCGTCGAATTGAGGGACAATAGATACAATCAAATTATCCATATGGTAACTGCTGCTAAGGGCGCTGAAGAATTCTATTCTACCGAGGTAAGCTAACCTCAAAGCTTCACGTGCCCACGTGTTAGATTGAAAGCAATAACATATACTTCTTCAGTCTGTTGTGGGAAATCCCAATATAAGCTCCTTTCATAAATATGGAATAACCATTATCAAGTTGAACATATTTTTTTAGCGACGTAGTTGGTATATAACAACATTTTCATGTTTAAAATCGATTTTCCACTGATAAAATAAATCAGTTTTAGTATAATTTCCCCTGGCGGGGTATACATATATCATAATTCCTGAGAGCAGAGGCTCCCAGTAACATTTTCGTCATCACAATATTTCTTTACTTATTGCGTGGGAACCAAGAAGTTATGGAATATAAAGTATATTTTTCGTTACGATCAATGTATTTTTGTATTAAAGATAAGAAGTGTGCACGAGGTTATCTAATGTCATGCATTATATTTATTAATATCTTCATAAAATGTGATCGAACAACATACTTTCATATTCTTCATCTTAATAAAATAAGGAAGACTGGATATTTCGAGGTTAAAGTGGGCGTTTTGTTTACTTTTTACAGTACTAAAAAATAAATGGTCATTGACACTAATATAGCCACAAAAACGTTTTCACATCAAAATTGATTGCAATGTTTGCGAGAATTGAAATCTAATAAGCAACACATTTATACTTCTCGAATGGATAGATAATACACCTATTATTTTTTATATTTCGAAATACTAGCATTAGTAGTACACTCAGTCGTGCTATTTTAAGGATAGTGGTTTCATTTCACTCGTTACTGATTCCTTGATCACAAAATGTTGATGATGAGTTTTGTATACTAAGTGACATATAAATCCGAACACCCAGTTTAAATGGTTTTATTTTAATAAAATTTTGTATAAGTACTTAATGAAGCATAAGTAAATGATAAAAATTTCAAAATGATTGCACTGCTTTAAATCCCTTTGACCTTTAATAATGTGTGGATGCACCCTGATGTGCTACGCATTCTCCAACGCGCCTAGGCATGCTTTTGATCAGGTGGTCAATGTCCTCCTGTGGTATCTCATTCCAGGCAACCACCAACTCCTCTCGAAGTGCTTCTAGAGTCTGAGGAGGACGTTGCAAATTGAGCAATCTCCTACCCATCATATCCCACACGTGCGATAAGTCGGGAGATCTTGGTGGCCATGGTAACAATGTGACATCATTATGTTGAAAGAAGTCTATTGTGACTCTTGCAACATGTGGTCGGGCATTATCTTGTTGGAAAGTTGGATCTGCCAGGGTGTCAAGATAGGGTAAAAGATGGGGTTCTAGAACTTTGTGGATATAACGCTGCGCGTTCATGTTACCTCTGATGAAGATTAAAGGTGACCTGGAACCATAAGCTATAGCACCCCAAACCCTCCAACAGTGTGATGAACATGTCTTTCAACAAAAAACTGTGGATTCCTCCTTTCACCACGTCGCCTTCTAACCCTGGCTCGACCATCGTGAATGCCTAAACAAAATCGAGACTCGTCACTAAAGACAATACTGTTCCATTCCTGATCCCAGAGTGACCGTTGTCTGCACCACTCAAGGCGATTACGTCGGTGTTCTCGAGTTAAAGGGAGGACCCAGTGTGGCCGGTATGAAAACAAGCCAAAACTTCTCATTCGTCGGTAAACACTTCGCATGCCAATAGGTCTTCCGTGTTCTGCAAACCATTAATTTGCAATGGACCTGGTAGTGGAGAAACGGTCCCTTAAGGCCAATAATCTTAGGCGGCGATCTTCACGGTCTGTTGTTCTACGGCGGCGTCCAGTGCCCCTTGCTCTTTGCGTACGGCCTTCTCGAAGCCATGCCTGACAACACCTAACCACAGTGTCTACACTTCTTTGCACTCTAACTGCAATTGCCCGAAAAGAAAGTCCAGCTTCCCGAAGTCCCACTATACGGCCCGTATCAAACTCACTAAGTTGACAAATCGTACAGGTCTCCGTACTCTAGGCATCGTAACCGATCTTAAAGGATGTCAAGAACCAAAATCCGCCAACGTTGATTCTTTACTGCGGCTGAAATATTCATTTTTAGAGCGTTAGTGAATTAAAAAAAAGCAGTATAAAAACCGGAATGTCCAACTGATAAGGCTGAAAATTTTTTCACTTGTTATTTACAGTAAGATAAATACATTCACCAACTTTTATTAAAATAAAACCATTTAAACTGGGTGTTCGGATTTATATGTCACTTAGTATATATTTGAAATGCGATTCATGATTTAAACAGCGAGTTATATTATTTTAAATAGACTGTATATATTATTTTTCTGTGCCAAAGATATTTTCTAAATCCATCTAACAAATCCCTATCACTTTTCTGTCTGTCTATAATGATTGAAGCGTATTTTACGCACTGCAGCTAAATAAATATTGAAGTCATTAGAGGAAGACAAGCACCGAAATTGGCAAAGTTTCCGCTACTTCTAACAGTGTGGAATCTCTAAGATCACTAAGTAAAAAGATGCATTTTATTTCCGACCGAGGGTAAGGTTTACTTCACGAATATGTTCTCTGGGCGTTCAGTCCTAATTTTCACGCCCACGCACTTCTTTTTACCCTTGGGCGGTGAAATGACTTTAGCGCCAGCTATCTATACATTGACGTGTGCTCATGATGATGAGAACTATCCATTATTATAGGATACGAACGAGATATGATAATAGCAATATAACAATAAACGTGAAAACATCTCATCTTAGAAGATTCCGAAGTACCGCGCCAGAGCATTTCATTTTTACTACATGGGCAGTACGTAGACAATTCGATATGGGCCACAATGTCAGGGTAATATTAAAGTCACTTACTTGGTGACGAAACGACAACGAGTTATCCTCCTTTGGCAAGCGATAAGGGCGATATGATCGGATTGTCGGGGCCAGCACCTATTTTTAGAAAGACTTATGAGTATCTACCGTATTCAACTGACTCATGACATCACATGCACAAATCTACTATTTACCATTACATTAGTGAACCCCAACTACTAGTAAGGATTAGCCATCGACTGAATCATGGGATCGTCACACAGACTGATCATTAAGTCGTCACACAGACTGACTAGGAGTCGGCACACACACTAACTCTTTGATCGCTAAGTTTATGGTCAGACGATTGTTACAAAAAGACAGTCCAGGAACCGGGATATCACGTTGGCCAAGGGCCGTTGTGTCAATACCCCAAAGCTCCGAGGTTACCCCCTGAATCAGAGATAACCGAGCAATGTGACTATCAATAAAGTAACAATCCCTTCACACATCCTGCCATGAGATACATTCAGACTCCAGCGATTGCCAAGAGAAGATAGTTAAGCGGTCATTCAGACCTAGGACGCCACTTCGGCCAAAGGCCACCGTGTCAACATCCCAAGCGCTCCGACGTTTCCCCTGGTAGAGGAAGCCGAGCAGTAATTAACATAAATAACCTCAACCCAGCAAACGGGCTCCGAAAGTCCCATAACAACCCCCAGATCCTGGAGGCGTCCCACCTGCGGATATTCAATAACAAGTCGTAAGCCATAAATTAACTTATGAAGGTAAAAAGTATAGCATCTTTACAAACATGGCTTAAGGCATTCATGATCATGAATATAAAAGTATTATGGTTATCAATCCATGCAGTACAGTAAAATAAAGGAAACACTCAGTGATTGCTCACCTTTCAGGTAACCAAAACACTACACCCAATAGCACATCAACACTGTAATCAAGGCCGCAAAGCGCACTACTTGGTCTGAGAGGCGATCTCCTCCACGCAATATTTGAACTGCATTGCAAGCGACGCCCGTATCTTTAAGAAAGTTTATCCTGGGAACAAGTACCCAGAGAAGGAATGGAATGTATTACATAAACAGGCGTAAGGGCCGTCGTGCTGAGTGCCTCTAAGCAGACTTGTGAACCTTCTGGAAAGATTTTGTGTGCTACAAGGTTGAACTCGCATGCAAAAATATGTTTGAGATATTTCGTAAGCTTACATTATTTATTGATTAACAGGCATTTTCATGTCCACCGTAAGTTTTTGACGTACCCTATAGCAGTCATAGATAAAATCTTGTATGTATCTTGGGCATAATAAGTGTCTATGTAACTTGGCGTGCTTGGCCTCAGTTCCACGCCGCGCGCTGCCTTTACACGTCCACTTAACTGTCCTTCAGTTTTCTCTCATCTAAAGTTAAACGTTGTTTCAGGATCACAATTGTCGATCAGAAAACGTTGACCTGGCACGCGAACTTGACAGTAGAGCGGCTGCTTCTTGGGTGGGTCATCCATACTTTGACGTCATCGACAATTCCACCGATTTCGAGGACAAGATTAGGCGCATGATCGGATCTGTTTGCCACAAGATCGGCATTGACACAGGCGATAGGTAAGCCCAAAGTTATTGTAGTGTTTGCTATTTGCAGTCCACACACGAGCGTTCTTTATCCCATTCAGGCTTGCAATTATTTTCTGTCGTAAAATAAAATGTCAGCCATTTCTATCGATCTCTGTTACAGTCGGAATATTTAACAGTTAGTCTGAAACGTTGTCACTCCAGTAGAACGAATTTGTGCATCTCGGGGTTGATAACAATCCTTGCGGAAAGATTGACGTTCAAGTTCTCTGTAGAGGTCTTTGTGGTCGTTTCAGTTTTATTCACTATTCAGATGCTGTGATCAAAACACCGGATACTGTATCTTTAGATTTTTTTCTCTGTTACATATCGATATTTTGTTATGAGAAACTATTGCAACTCCATATCGATACAGACCAGTTAGTATTTTTTTGTCACACGTGATACATCTTATATTCGGTTTATCTTGATGAAACCGCAATTTTTTTATTTTTAGGTTATTAAAGAATGCCAGAAAACACAAATTCTTAGTAGAAGGCCCCTTGCCAGAGGACAGCGTGTTTCCGCCCTTCCAAGACTTCGAAGTAGTCCATAATTATCTGCAGTCGAACTCGCCTAATCAGGTCAGGTTAAGAAAACGCGGCCAAAAAGGTGAGAAACGCAGGCTTATATCAGCCCACTAGTCATACCTGATAGAAATATTAGACGACCCGTCATGCTTAAAATGTGATTTTGTACTAGTGATAATTATTGCAAGTCGCGACCGGAACTTCATATAGTCATGTAAGTTACTCAAAAAATGAAATTTGCTCTAAATTGTTATTTTATTCAGAATTATTTTCTACATTTGTTTGGATCAGTATTTTTAACTCTTGCCAGTAAAGTTGTATTGCAATTATCTTGAATTATTTGTCATTGTCTTTGTTTATACATGTTGTGTTTGTTTGCGTACTTACGTACGTAAGAAATTGTTACGCTTTCAAACATTTTACTAATGATGAAAATTGTAAAGAATTTATTTGGAAAATATATAGGAAGCAGCTAGTTTCGTATTTTCTTTTAACACTTCTATGACTAACTTACTTTCTAATCTGTATCTAGCTTTGATGCTTTAAAATATTTTTTCTTGCACGATTGTGCTTCTCGTGACATGAGTAAAACCATTAACGACATAATGTTACCAAAATGCTTTCAATGTAACTATATCTTCTATAAAAAAAACTGTATATTCAGTGATGACAAATTCTTCCTAATAACCAAGTATTGTTTATGCTGGTGCCATTTAAAAATAAATTATATAAATAATTATAAACTTTTTCTAAAAATACCTTCAACTAAAACTTTAATGTATCCTTGCTCCTACTAATACTCTAGTGGGATTTTCAAGAAATCAATCATTTATAATAAAGGGCGCTCCTCAAATAGTAATAAAATCTTGTGACGCTGGAGTTGGCCATGGTTTAATAGCGTTATGACAATCTGACAAGAAAAACAAGAGTTTGCGTGCAATCTGAAAAAACTTAATCAGACAATATCCGCACGTTTGTAGATGTCCTTGGTTGTATAATAGTAGTTTCACAATTAATGAAATCTCATTTATTAAATCTAAAAATAACAGTTTTGAAGAAACAGCAACCTCAACTTGCTGTAGCAAAAAATAAGTTGTATATTGGAAAGAAGAATGAACTTCTAGTTCATTGGCAATTTCAGGTCATTACAGTTACATCCACACGGTGAGAAGACAGAATACGCCTGGTGGCCAAGTGATTGAGGTCAAAACACAGATCGGACATAGAGATTATATCAACCTTTTGACGCAGAAAGACATTGCACATTTCACCATTTACAAGAGGAGAAGATGCTTCATACATAACAATCAATATTTTCAGTTGGATATGTACGAACAGCCTAGTCATCCAAGGTGAGCAAATCTCTTCAATTTACTTTAGCTAAGAGTTCATTAAGTGTTAGCGGTTGACGAAAAAACGTTCATGGCGGTGAGATAAAACTAAAAATTGTCTGTAAGCTTATATATACAAACGTCCGCACATAGATACTGATTACATATGTATGTGTGAGGGTATATGGATGTAATGAATGTAATCCGTACAGTTACTGCATCTGCCAATAACTATGAAAATACATGCAGTTTCACTGCTGCGTTTCGTGTCGCTGTCCTTACGCGCACAGCACCTTCAAGATAACCAAGAAACTAAGTTGAAAAATGTGTAATGTCAAATACACCCTTGCCTCCAACAAAGGGTTAGATGCAAATAATATATAAACAGTACATACAGCTATTTTACTTAGTATTTTAACATCAGTTATTATTTTTAATTGGCCTTGTCTCTTTGATTAAGCTGATGAAATGATATTATTGCAAAATTCAGCTATCTTTATTTAAAGAAAATAATTACAAAGTCTGTGAATATGAAATAATCGTTTCTGGGAATTTGGTAAACGACATCCAAAGTGCAAATCTCGGACACTTTTTTATCAGTTTCAATGCTTCCTCCTACCATTGCCAAAATATTTGTGTAAATCCCAGGGCAGGATAATCCCACGTGTCAGCTCATCCAGTTTTTATAAACCGATACGACCCTCACCGGCGGCGAATAATACACCTTTGCAGGTTATGCATTATTTGCCAGGGGTGTGCACATTTCTCAGGGGATGCGGCTTCAGATATCTGACGACCTATAAGGTGCCTATGTGGCGCGTGTGTTCCCTGGAGTGATCCAATTCGCGGCGAAAAATGGGCAGAATATTATGTACTCGTAAATTCCTGGGACCTGATTCTAAATGAAGCCGCATCGAAATTATCATGGCGAAGTCGAAATTTGTGTTACGTCATATTTTGGCGACTGCTAGCAATAAATTTCATCAGTCGCCAGATGGTCGAAATTATGACACTAACTGACCTAATTTGTAGATGACGTAGTGTTTCTGTCTTGTTTTCATTGAATAGTCGTTTTGTTTTAACATAATGGCCTACGCTTTCGTCCATTACGGAATAGTTCATGAACTACAAGAAGAGGACGATCGTCGGAGCCCTCGTGTGTGCCGTAGGATGTTAAGGGATAACCAAAATCCATTTTGTTTTCCCGACCGTAAGTTGAGAGTAAACTATTTTGGGATTATTAGATTAATAATCTTTCCTGACGAGACTGCAGATACGGAAGACAACCACTCTGAAGGTTTGAGAAATAAGAAAGTTGAGGCTCATCGAAACATTCAGTGAAAATATTATTTCCCCATTGTTCAGGCTAAGAAAAGGTATAGCCTGACAAAGAGTTAGAAGAAATAGATGATTAACTAGTTTTGAGAACAGATCATGTTAATGTTTACAGCTTTTCGCATATGTGAAGTATTTATTTGTTCTTTTTTATAATCCAATAAAATGTATTAAGTACAGGTAGTTCACTTGCTTACGTTGTACGTTAGTGTTTGTAGAATTTTAGGTATTATCAAGCTCATTAATGATATATAAAAATAATAATGATCATTATTTATAATAAGCCAGCTAGACAATGTATGGGTCCCCTACCTGGCCGGGGGCTCCCAATAAGTGGATCTTCTTCTAGTATTATTCTGTGTATGTGATGTACATTGTTCTATGTTCGATGCCTATCACGTGTGCAGATTGTTGCCACGATCTCCTATGAAAGCTTGTTTAAGTTTTGCTGACCCAATTTAATTATTCAAGGTCAATAAACCCAAATAATCAAACGAATTTTCCTAACTACATATACATGGTGATATTTTTTGTCAGAGCTTCTTGTCATTTAATTAATTTTCAATTTTGTATTCCATTTTAAAATGTATGTTTGTCTCATCTCATCGTTATCCTGTAGAAGCGGCATATTTTCTAAGTAAGCAGCATATAGTTTTCTACAATTTTTGTAAATAACTTTAAGTAGCTTTTAAAATAACGGATATATCGACCGATATTACAATCAAAATTTACTCTGTATGTTTATATATATATAGCGCATAGAATCTCCGCAAATTATAAGACTCCACCATTCAGCAAGAATGATTCTAAATAGCAATTCTCAGTATAAGATCAAGGTGTGTATTGAATGATTTCTTATATCAAAATAAATGGCTAAGGCCCAATTTCACCAACATTAATATTATGGACCAATGGGAAAATACCTTATCGAAATGCAATTTGACAGAAGCTGTCAAATGTCTCTGAATATCAGTGATTTCTATAAAATCGTGAAAATTCGACTGTAATATAAACAAGACCACTTTTTGATTCCAAAATGATGCTTTTGTACAGAAAAAACGGGACAACTTTCATGTATTTTGATATATGTTATAGGTTTACATTTGACAATCCGTTATCCCCTCAGTGAATGTTAATGGGGGAAATAATTGGTCGATTTTCTAGCTGTTAAATTTGGCAGCAGGTTTGGATGTTTGTTAGTTCATGGCAATCTGGAACTTTTCAAACTCAATATACTGAGTGTTATCATACATAGCTGTTGAATAGTGTGGATTTGTCTGTATTTCGCAAGATAATAGAATATAAAATACATTCCATCCAATTCCTCATCTTCCTTTACGTCATAATAGTAATCATTTATTAATTTATGGGTTAATGAATTTCTTCAAAGCAATAAAAACATTATGTCCTCTCCATCCTAAAACACAGATAATATGTGTAAGACGTGTCAATCCCTACATCTCCCTAATGCGTAATACAATTACCATGGACATAGACAAAAAGTTATGAAAAATGTCTTACAAATAATGTCTTTTAAGTCCAAAAATCATAAAAACTAGTAATGTTTATTGTTTGATTGTCTTTTTGACTGGCGGCGTAGTAGGAACACAAACATAGTACTTATGATAGTTGGAGCTAGACTGATAACACTTCTTGAAGAATATTTGAAAAATGTGAACACCATCATGGTCTGTTGTCAAATTGCAAAAGAAGTATCTGAAAATTCTTACATACAGTGGACCTTCGTCATAGTTTTACTATCCTGATTATGATCATCTTTGGCAAATGTGTTGTATCATCAAATTGATGAACCAATATAAGAAAGCTCTTATATAGTCAACGCCAAACAAAGTGGCGTGCACGTCATCAAGGTGGGTGTGTTGAAAAATTTACATTGTTGCCAAACTTTTTGTAAAATAATAAAATTTATTATTTACATATCTAGGTTTATAAGCAATATTAACCTCAAATGAGAACAAAAATAATAGTATAATAAAATTATAGATCTGTACTTGCATAATCATTAAGTATGACAATTATTGATCAGATGACACTATGAAACTACCATATTTAATTGATAGCTTAAAGGTACTGAATAAAAATCCAAATGGGGTCCTCCAAATTTTATGCATGGTATTTATTTTACAGAATTCATACAGAAAAATGCATTCTAAAATTAGGTTAGCTACTGGTGTAAGCTTTTTCTGTACAATAAAGTTAGTCGGAGTTTCTTTCTTCAGCGCTGTCTGAATCTGAATCTTCATCACTCTCAAAGTTGATTATTAAAGGTTCGATGTCTGGTCGATCAAAAATTCGTTCTCTTTCATACCATTTAAAAATTTCTTGCTCAGTATGTCGAACACTATTTTTCCACATGTCTGGGGTAACCGTTTGTAGAGCCTCGTTCCACATATCCAAACAGTCTTTTTCACTGTTACCATCTCTACCAATATGTCTGTTATAGTAACCTTTTGCTATGCCCCAAATTAACTCAATAGGGTTAAATATACAATGGTAAGGAGGCAGACGAAGAACTTTGTGCCCATGTTGTTCCGCCAATTCATCAATCACGTATATTTTAGGTGGTTTGTTTCTAAAAAAGCAGTTATTTTAAGAATAGGAATAAACAAAAGAAATATAAACTGTCGACCAAAATATATATAATTAAGAAGCATTATGTACCGAGCAACAATACTCAATAGCTCTGTTTTAAACATTGTGTTTAAAAATGGTATGTTTTGATTTGTCAACCAGTCTTGGATATTTTTTTTTGTCCATGCATTGTTGGGCACTTTGTTCAATATCATGCTGTGATAAGGGGCGTTATCCAGTATAATCATAGATGGACTCTCCAATTTTTCTAATAACTGATGTTGAAACCATTTCAAAAAATTGTCCTGGTTCATCTCTCCATGGTAATCGCTCAATTTTGTTTTCGAAGAAAATATCGCTTCACTACCCTCAATAAACCCATTTTCATTTCCAGCATGTAATATAATGTATCTAAAATATATTAGTTTTAAATTTTATAGTGCAAATTGTGTAAAAGTACATACCTTTTACCATCTGTTTTAATAGCTTTCACGCTTTTTTGGTTTCCATTTTGCCAAGAGCGACCTATGGTCCCATTTTGAAATATCCAAGTTTCATCGAGGAAGACAAACTGGTATAAGGCCTCAACCTTGGCTTGATTGTATTGACTTAGAAATTCCACCCTTTTCAAAGCTATACTTGGTAGTTCCATGAGCCCTCGTCGCGGATTGTCCTTAAGCCACTTAAATCCAAGATCTCTAAGCAACCGCCTTAAAGACGTGGCACTACCATCAAATAATGCCCTATCTCTTAATCGAGACCATAAAGTTTGTATCGTAACTTGTTCTTCTGAAACCATGTGTAATATGACATTATAATTTAGTTAACAAATTAATGCAAATTTCTGATAAGTTATTATAATAAGATAAGATTACTTTTGTGATACATATTATAGATCACTTCTCGAATGGCACTTGTATCCAATGTCGCTGTGTTGGTTACACGTTTAATATAACTCCGCTTTTTCTTGGGCGATTCTAAATTTGCATCACTTTTCACACCCTCGGAAATACGACTAACTGTCCTTAAACTAATTTTTAAAGCAGCAGCAACACGCTACAAAAAATGAAATAAAATTTCACTATTATTAATAT